CCCTTCATCACCAGACCATTTTTTGCTATATGGCGCTTCATTACTTTAACTGACAATTGTGTGTTCATGCAACACTGTACACAAATGAAATTTATATCATTTTTGTCACACGAATAGAACTTTCTTTTAGTGGTATTTGATCATCGCTGGTTGTTTTTATTTTTTGTGCTATAAATGAAAATAAAACGAAAATTGAAAAAAAAAAAACAGTATTTTTTCGGTTTGGTATAAAACATATCCAAATAAAAAATAAAAAAAATAAAATCTCTTCATAAATTTAGGCCAAAATGTATTTTGCTACATGTCTTTGATAAACAAAAATCCCAATAAGTGTATATTAATTGGTCTGTTTGAAAGTTATAGTGTTTACAAATGGCGGTATATAAACTGGAATTTTTTTTTTTTTTTTAACACTAGTAATGGTGGCGATCAACGACTTATAGCGGGACTGCGATAGTACAGCGGGCATTCTGACACTAGGTGGGAACTAACTGCCACTGACATCTTCAGTGACACTAATACAGTGATCAGTGCTAATAAAAAGCACTGAAACTGTACTAATGACACTGGGCAGGAAGGGGTTAACAATCTGCAATCAAAGGGTTAATTGTGTGTCAGGGAGTATGATTACTGTGTACTGTTTTACTAGGGGACATGCTGGTTTTCATTTCCCTGTTTGCAGAGAGATAAACAGCACTTCCCTGCTGACAGGCAAGAGATCTGTGTTGTTTACACTCACAGATTTCTCTCCTGTCAGCTGTTCTGCCTAGTACCGAGTCCCAGTAGTGACCCAGTGATTGACACCTACAGGAGCCAATGATAGCGCGGGTAGGACGGTACATACATGCCCCCTACCCAGAAATGCAAAATCACATACTGTCATGGCCAAAAATATTAGCACCCCTGCATTTCAGTCTATCATGAATGCTGCTGCCAGATTCATCTACCTTACTAACCATTCTGTATCTGCCACCCCTCCTTGCCAATCCCTCCACTGGCTTCCCATTGCCCAACAGATAAAATTCAAAACACTAACAATAACGTATAAAGCCATTTATAACTCTGCCCCAAATTACATCACCGATCTTGTCTCTAAATATCACCCAAACCGTACTCTCTGCTCCTTGCAAGACCTCCTACTCTCTAGCTCCCTTGTCTCCTCCTCCCATGCTCATCACCAGGACTTCTCCAGAGCTTCCCCCATCCTCTGGAACTCTCTACCCCGATTTTTCAGAATATCGCCTACTCTGCTCACTTTTAGGCGATCTCTGAAAACCTATCTCTTCAGGGAAGCCTATCCTGCTCTCAGCTAATAATGGAATCTTCTACTCTTCCAACCAGTCCATCCCCCACAGTTACTACCTTTTGTACCACTAGCCCCCCCCTCCTAGATTGTAAGCTCCAAGGAGCAGGGCCCTCCTATCCCTCTTGTATTGAACTGTATTGTTGCTGTATTGTCTCCCGTTATATTGTAAAGTGCTGAGCAAACTGTTGGTGCTATATAAATCCTGTATAATAATAATAATTTCTGTCAGATAATGCACCACTTCGGCCAAAAAATTATTGCAATTGCAAATGTTTAGGCATTGTCATGTATATTTCCTTTGTTTGTATTGGTATGACACAAAAACGTGTGAGAAACAAAAAGCCAAATCTGACACATTCCATGCAAAACCCTGATAATATGGTGAAAAACTGATTCAATTTTCTGTTGTGTGTTTCTGTGTGCTACATGGAGCATGGAGAACAGAAAGAGCAGCAAAGAATTGTCTGAGGATTTGAGAACATAAATTGTGGAAAGGCTTGGACAATCTCAAGGTTACAAGTCCAACTCCAGAGATCTTAAAGCGGAAGTTCTGCTTTAAAGACTGGTCCCCCACTCCCCATTAAGGATTGGCACCCTTGGAGACAGGTCCCAGAAGACTACAGGACCATTCAGAAAGTGCAGTGCTACTCACGCATGCGCAGTGGGCACCTGGCTGTGAAGCCACAAGCTGTCACAACGGGTTCCCACACTGAAGTTGGAAAAACAGGACTGCGGGGAGGACACCGTGGGATCGAGGGACAGGTGAGTGGCTGTTTTTAAAAGTCAGCAGCTACAGTTTTCATAGTAGCTTTTATTTTTTACAGTGTGACTGGAACTCTGTTTTAATGTTCCTGTGTCAACTGTGCACAACACTGTCAAGAACTTTACAGCCCATGGCACTGTAGCTAATCTCTCTGGATGTGGATGAGCCAATCTGCGGAGATGATCTGCGGATTGAGCATAATGGATCGGAGTCCGATCCATTATGCTCCCCACTCCGCAGATCCGATCCATCCTGCGGGGATCGTCGGCATGCAACCTATATGGGGTAACACCGGACCTGTTCCACGAAAAGGTAAGTTGTAAAGCAAGCTGACGATCCTCGTAGGATGGATCTCATCTACAGATTGGGGAGCAAAATGAATCGGACTCCGATGCATTATGCTCAACCTGCAGATCCGATCCATCCTGCGGGGATCATAGGCTTGCTTTACAACTGCCCTGTAGCAGTATATGCACTATAGGGTGGTCCTTAAGCGGTAAAGAAAAGTATACAGTCCCTACAGTCAAACATGTGGATATTCACTGATATTTCGGGGTTGCTTTACTGTTTTTTCAGGCACTGGATGTCTTGACCGTGTGTATGGCATTATGAAATCTGAAGACTACCAAAGATTTCTGGTTTGCAATGTAAAGGCCCAGTGTCAGAAAGTTGGGTCTCCGTCAGAGGTCATGGGTCTTACAGCAGGACAATAACCCAAAGACCACATCAAAAAGCACCCAGAAATGGTTTCAGACAAAGAGCTGGAGAGGACTGAACTGGGCCAGCTGGAGAGGACTGAACTGGCCACCAAAGCAGTTGGGAAAAGGAACCCTTCCAGTCTGAGAGATATGGAGCAGTTGGGGAAAGAAGAGTGCGCCAAAATTCCAATAGAGAGGTGGAAGAAGCTCATTGAGGATTACAGGAAGCCATTGATTTTCGTTATTTTTTCCAAGGGGTGTGCTACCAAATATTAAATTCAGGGTGTCAATTTTGTCCAGTCCATATTTTTAGTGGAATGTGTCAGATTTGGTTTTTGTTTCTCCACTTTTTAACCACTAGCCTACAGGGCACTTATACCCCCTTCCTGCCCAGGCCAATTTCCAGCTTTCAGTGCTTTCACACTTTGAATGACAATTGCGCGGTCATGCAACACTGTACCCATATGAAATGTTTATCTTTTTTTGTGACAGAGCTTTATTTTGGTGGTATTTAATCACCTCTGGGTTTTTTTTTTTTTTCTTAAACCAAAAACCACTAAAATTTTGAAAAAAAAAAAACATTTTTTCTTAGTTTTTGTTTTAAACTTTTGTAAATAAGTGATTTTTCTCCTTCACTGATGTGCGCGAATGAGTCTGCAGTGATGGGAACGGATAGGCTGCACTGATGGACACTGATAGGTGGCACTTATGAGGAGGCACTGGTAGGTAGCACTGATGGGCATTGACAGGCATCACTGATGGGCAATGAAAGGCAGCACTCACATATGGCACTGATAGGCGGCACTGACTGGCACTGTTAGGCGGCACTGATAGGCAGCACTGACTGGCACTGATAGGTGGCACTGATTGGCAGCACTGATAGGTGGCACTGACTGGCATTGATAGGTGGCACTGATGGGTGACACTGAAAGGCAGCTCAGATGGGCACTGATATGTGGCATTGATGTGGCACTGGCAGGTGGCATGGATGAGCACTGAGAGCTGGCACTGATGGACACTGACAGGTGGCGCTGCTGGGGCTACACAGATCATCAGGGCACACTGATCATCAGTGCCCTGATGATCTGTGTAGATGTCCCCTCCGAGGAATGTCGATTACCGGCTCTCCTCTCCTCTATCAGTGTGACAGCTCATGGGGAGAGAAATGCTGATAACCGGCATTTCCCTGTTTACATGTGATCAGCTGTGATTGGACACAGCTGATCACATGACCGAGCTGACATCTTCGGCTCTTTCCATGGATCGGTGATCTGCTGTGTCCGAGGGACACAGCGCACCGCTGATTGCCGTGCGTCCGGGAGCCGCGCATGCGCGGTGAGAATGGGAGGACGTCATATGACTTCCTCCCAGAACGAGAGAACCACCTTGCGTCCGTCATGTTACTATATGGCGGGCAGGAGGCGGTTAAAGAAATAAACATGAGAATGCCTAAACATTTGTAATGGTAACAATCTCCTGGGCGAAGTGGTGCATTACCTGACAGAAATGCAGGGGTGCCAATATTTTTGGCCATGACTGTATATATATATATATATATATATATATATATATACGTGATTTTGTCGGAACGTCTGCAGGGCGGTCAGAAAGTGGATAATATGAGGTCAAACCTAAACCCTTTCAGTTTGAATGCAGTCAGGCAGGCCCTTGCATTATAAAATTGAAGGTAAAGGGAAATTGAGTAAGAAAATTGTACCATGTATGGCCACCCTAGAAAAATGAATTGAAATACATGAAAAAAGTATTCCAATAAATGCACGGCGATGACAAAGACGCACGATGGACGCAGAGCTTGCGGCGTCTATGATCCCTATGTCAGGACAGCTCAGCATTCAGTAGGGATTGTGTAGTCCTGTCATCAGAGCTGGATGGGCCTTTATAGGCTCCTGACTGTTCTCTTCCCAGCTTGTGTGTATATAGAATGGCTCACACAGAGCAGGGCTGGGATTCCTGCAGACAGCCATGTAAACAACGTGCTCCCATTGTGTGCCAAGTCTGCACTCCGGACAAGTTTGTTATTCAGTGTTGTGCTATATTGCAGAGTTTGGAGGGGAGTGACAGGGGCGGGGTTTGCGGCGATCGGGGCGGGGCCAGGCTAAGCTTGCAATGAATGTAATGCTGCGAAGGTCTCAGACATTGTACACACACACATGCCGGGTAGGTCGGGGGAACGTACGACTCATCGCCCGACAAGCTGCATCCACACACCATGATGAACGGATTCCCCTCCGAGGACTTAGCCCGGGACAGTGGGGGAGAGGTCACCTCCCCGACAGCTGCCATCCCCGCCGGGGCTCTGTGTCCTCTCAACGGGCAACTGTGCTGCCTGCGGGACGAGGGGGAGCGCTGCACCCGGCCTGCCGGCAATGCCAGCTTCAGCAAGAGGATCCAGAAGAGCATCTCCCAGAAGAAAGTCAAGATCGACCTGGACAAGACGGTAAGTGGCCCGGCGTGCCGTGTGTGTTCCCAGAGGAGGGGCCCCTGACATGCCGTGCTATTGTATACTTCGGGCTGCAGAGGAGGCCGGCCATCGCCAGGGACAACAACAAACTAGACAAGTCACATCCGCATTGCATGACTGATGGGAGACACACACTGATCGCTAGCAACACGCTGATGCACACTGATCGCCAGCAACACGCTGATCTGATCTGATCTCACACACTGATCGCCAGCAACACGCTGATGCAACATCTGCACCACACTGATCGCCATCACCAACACGCAACACGCTGATCACCACACTGTACACTGATCGCCACGCTGATCACACGCTACACTGATGCAAACTGTACACCAGCAACACTCAAAACGCTGATCACCACGCTGCACACTGATCGCCAGTACACCAGCAAAACGCTGATCACCACGCTCACTCGCCTACAACAGCTGACACTGCACTACAACGACACACCAGTCACCAACACAATGCACCACACACTGATCACAGACTGGGCTGCACACCGGTCACACAATGCACCCTGCCCTACACCAGACACACACCGATCACACACAATGCCGTGCCCGGATCACACACACAGCTGCTTCCTGTCATCTGAAACTTCATGCGATGGCTGTGTGCTCAGTGCTGTGAGCTCCCGGGCGCGGAGCGTGCTCAGTGCTGTGTGCTCGGTGGGAGCCGTCTACTATCAGTGGGATATAAACATTCTGCATGGAATTCCCCCTTTTGTGTGGATGTCGGGAATACGTGGCGGCTTCCCGGTCTGGTGCTGGGAAGGGGGGTGTACGGTGTGGCGGCGGGTTGGGTGTACGGTGTGGCGGGGCCGGGGAAGACTTTGCTTTTGTTCTGCTGGCTGCGATCAGTCAAGTGCAGGTTGTTGGGGCAGAACAAGTGTCATCCGGCGGTGTGGAGGGACATTCCCCCGCATGGAGCACACAGAGCAACAGGGACAGGCGGGCTGCATGTCATGTACAGGACTTGTGTGTTGTCTGCAGACTGGGAGGACTTCTAGCCAGGCCAGTGTGTGTTCCTGGATCCGGCACAACACCGCCTCCGTGCGCAGGGCTCCTCCACCGCTGCCGGGGCGTCCTCCGTGCGCAGGGCTCCTCCACCGCTGGGGGCGTCCTCCGTGCGCAGGGCTCCTCCACCGCTGCCGGGGCGTCGAATCCGTGCGCAGGGCTCCTCCACCATGTGCCTGGGGCGTCCTCCGTGCGCAGGGCTCCTCCACCGCTGCTGGGATTTCCAACCACTACTGGAACTGGGTTTATCTGTGTACACCAGGACTGGGTTTCTGCTCAGTCTGGAGAAGTTGAATGTGGAGCAGGAGTCCTCTAACATGTATACGGGGTGTCCTCTATGTACATAGTTTCTCCTCCTGTACAGGGACTGGTATTTCTGCTGTATACATGGCTCATTAACCAGTAGCAAGGACTGAGCTGTGTCCTCTGTATACATGGGAATATACTCCAATATACAGTAAGTACTGGGATGTCCTCTTTGTATACTGGGTTTTCTGGCATCTTCCACCAGGACTGGGTTGTCCTCTTTGTACACCCGGGACTGGGATTTCTGATGTATATATGGCTCCTCCACCAGTACTGGGGCTGGGTTGTGCTCTCTGTTCACCAGTACTGGGTGTTCTGCTCAGTCTGGAGGAAGTTGAATGTGGAGCAGGAGAAATGACATGCTGGGGTGTCCTCTGTATACATAGTCTCCTCCGGTACAAGGACTGGCATTTCTGCTGTATACAGTGTGTATAGAAAGGAATTACCCCCTTTAACATAATCACATTTTGTGGCTTTGCAGCCTGAAACGAAGACAGACACATATTTTGTTTTATCCAGCTGTATTTCGTCCAAGTGAAAGCTATAACACTAACATGTCAGAAAAAAAATCAAAAACAGAATCTCTGAGTTGGAAAAACGATCACCCTCTTGTGTCAGTATTTTGTTGTTTTTTCCACCTTTTGCTTTAATTCCAGCATTTAGTCTGTTGGGTTATGTCTCCACTAACATCACACATCTAGACTTTGCAATATTTGCACACTCTTCTTTGCAGAACTGCTCAAGTTCAGATAAATTTGATAGTGACTGTTTGTGGACTGCGGTGTTCAAGTCATTCCACAGATTTTCAATGGGGTTCTAAGTCTGGGCTCTGACTAGGCCAGCAAGGATATTCACCTTTTTGTCCTTCAACCATTGTGGTAATATTTGCTGTGTGCTTTGGGACATTGTCATGTTGGAAAGAAAACCTTCATTGACAATTTTCTGGCAGAGCGGCAGTAGTTTCCTCAAGAATTTGATGGTATTTTGCCCCATCCATTTTTTCCTTCTCCTGACAAGTGCTCCAGTCCCTGCTGCAGAGAAACCCCCCATAACAGGATATTACCCCCCATGCTTTACTGTAAGAATGGTACTATTGGATGAACAGGATGGGTTTACCACCTCACATGCTTTACTAAAGTAGGAATCAGACTCCCTTCTGGAAACCAATCAGCTTCTAACCTCAGGATGATGAAGCTTTGGCAATGAAACCTGGAAGCTGATTGGTTTCTATGCAGAAGGGAGTCTGATTTTGGACTCTCCCAGACATAAACCCCATATAGTTTAGTGTTGAGGCCAAACAATTCAATTTTAATCTGACCATAACGACTTTTTTTTCCATGTGGCCTCAGAATCTTCAAGGTACATTTTGGCAAAGCTCAGTCATGACCACGTGTGGCTTTCTTGAGGAGTGGCTTTTTTCTTGTAACCCTCCCATACAAGTCACATTTGTGGATCATTTCTGTTATTGTTGTCACATTCATAGAATGACCACTCTTTGTCATAAATTCCTGCAACTGCTTCAGAGTTGATGTAGGCCTCTTGGTGGCCTCTGTGACCAGTTTCTCCCTGGCTCTTTCATCCAGTTTGGAGTGACATCCGGAATCCAGGGAGGGTCTGTGTTGTACCAAATACCTTCCACTTCTTAATAATAAACTTCATTTTTTTTTTTGTATCCGTCTGCTGACTTGTGCCCATCCATAATTGTATCCCTCAGATCATTTGACAGTGCCTTGTGACTCATAGTTGATTGTTTGCTTCAGTTGCACTACAAGAGACTGAAATGCTCCAGGAAAGCTCTTTTTTTGCTGAGCTAATCAAAATTACCACAGCTGATTACAGTTGAAAGTCAAATGGCTTCTGTGCCATTGAGAAGGTGATTAGCTACACATGATTGAGATTATAAGTCATTTTTAGGAGGGGGTGATTCTTTTTCCAACTCAGTGATTCTGTTTTTGATTTTTTTTTCCTGACTTGTTGGTGTTATATCTTTCACTTGGATGTTAGAAGTTGCACAGCTGGATAAAACAAAAATGGTGTCTGTCTTCATTTCAGGCTGCAAAGCAACAAAATGTGATTATTTTAAAGGGGGGTATTCTTTTGTATACCCACTGTACATGGCTCCTCCACCAGCACAAGGACTGAGGTGCCCTCTGTGTACATAGCGCCTCTACTAGTACAAAGAATGCTGTTCCCACTCTGTGTATGACATACACCATTATAAAGCCTCATACACAAGATGAGAATATTTAGGTTTTGGTTTTTTGCTTACTAGTCTCATATAGAAAATAGGTTACTAAAGTTACAAAAATTCTCATATGACAGAATACAATTTTGGAAGTAATAGAATGTGTTGTATTCTTTTATTTCCAAGCATGCGCAGTCTTGGTCTCTCGATATATTTTTTTTTTTCAGAATACTGTACTGATTAAAGCAAAAATCGTACATTCTGGTATCATATGAGAAAAACTTTCATGTTTGTCCCTACAGATAATTTAGCATAAACTGGTGTGATTGGCTGTAGAAAGCTGTGTACAAAGCAGATTATCGCACGATTTTCTGATTGTTTGTACTAGGCATAAGTACTGGGATGTCCTCTGTGTATAGGGCTCTTCCACCAGTATTGGGACTGGAGTTTCTGCTCAGTCTTTAGAAAGTTGAATGTGGAGCATGAGAAATGACATGTGCTGGGTTGTCCTCTGTGTACAATACATAGTTTCTTCACCAGTACAGGGACTGGGATTTCTGCTGTATACATAACTCCTCCACCAGTACAAGGACTGTAGTTCCCTCTATGTATATTGTTTATAAACCAATATACGTTCTTGGTTGTCCTCTGTGAACACGGCTCCTCTACCAGTACAAGGGCTGGGGTTCCCTCTGTGTACATGGCTTATACACCAATATAAGGACTACAGTTCCCTCTGTGTACAGGACTCCTCTACCAGATTAAGGACTGGGGTGTCCTCCAAGTACACAGCTCCTCCACCAGTGCAGGGACTGAGATGTCCACAGTGTACAATCAAATAACATATTCACCTTGCAAATGTTTCTGAAGATGGCTTGAAGCAAGTGGGTGCTGTAGCAACTGTCAGCTGGAAACCGGAATTAATACAAGTCAAAGCATATAGCACCAGTACACCATGGATCTTCAGAATATCCAGTGCCTGAAGAAGGGGTCCTGCAAGTCCCCAAATTGTCACAATTTACTGCTGTGATGTAATTACTTTACTAAACTTTGGACACTGTTCTGAAGATCCACGGTGAGATGTGTTGACTCTGTATACAAGGCTCCTCTACCAGTACAAAGACCTGAGTGTCTTCTGTATATACATCTCATTCACCACTACAGGGAGTGGGAGTGCGCCTTTTTTACACAGCTCAATCACTGGTACAGGGACTGGAGTGTACTCTGTGTACATGGCGTATACATCAATATAAGGACTGAGGTGTCCTCTGCATACATTACACATCCACCTATATAACAACTGGGTCCTCTGTGTACATGGGTACATCACCAGTGAAGAACTGTGGTGTCCTCTGTGTACATGGATACATCACCAGTACAAAAATTGGGTTGTCCTCTGTGTACATGGCTCCTCCACCAGTACAAGAACAGGGGTTTACCCTGTGTACATTGCTCCACCAGTACAATGACGGAGTGTCCCCTGTGTACATGGCTCCTCCACCTGCACAAGGACTGAGGTGGCATTAGTGTACATGACTCCTCCACCAGAATAAGGACTGGGTTGTCCTTGGCGTACATGGCTTCTCCACCAATACAAGACTGTGGTGTCCCTAGTGTACATGGCACCACTATAGGGACTGGGGTGACCTGTGTATGGATAGCTCCTCAATCAGTTTAGAGGTTTTGGTGCCTTTTGTGTGCTTTGCTTGTACACCTTTACAGGTGCTGTGGTGTCTTCTGTGTGCATAGTTTCTCCACCAGTACTGGGACTGGGATTTGTGCTGTATAGTCGCTTCTTCACCAGTACAAGGATTAGGTTATCGCCTGTGTACGTGGCTCCTCCACCAGTACAAGGACTGGGCTGTCCTCTCTGTATGTGGCTGTATGTGGCTCCTCACCAGTGGGCTGTCCACCAGTACAAGGACTGGGCTGTCCCTCTCTGTATGTGGCTCCTCCACCAGTACAAGGACTGGGCTGTCCTCTCTGTATGTGGCTCCTCCACCAGTACAAGGACTGGGCTGTCCTCTCTGTATGTGGCTCCTCCACCAGTACAAGGACTGGGCTGTCCTCTCTGTATGTGGCTCCTCCACCAGTACAAGGACTGGGCTGTCCTCTCTGTATGTGGCTCCTCCACCAGTACAAGGACTGGGCTGTCCTCTCTGTATGTGGCTCCTCCACCAGTACAAGGACTGGGGTTTCTGCTCAGTCTGGAGGAAGTTGCATGTGGAGCATGAGAAAGGGAACTTGTTTTGTCTGGTCTGCCAAGCCTGGATTATTTAGTGATCACACACGGCTAACCCATTCTCCAGATGGGATTTTCATTGTTTTATCAGTTTACACTATATTCTGGAATGCAATTGTCCAGCTAGTGTGTTTGTTTTTATTATGTATGTGTGTAAATGCACACATTTTTATATACAAATAGATCTGAAGAAAAGGACATGCTTTGATACAGGTTTCTTCTTAGGATACAAATATGCTACTAATTAAATTAAAAAACAGAATGAATTTGTCTAGCAGTTCATTAGATGGCGATAATCAATGGTTCAGCATTTCTCAAAGTATTCCACTGATGTTTTAAATGACCAAATATTTTAAACTCCTTTTTACATATGGTTTAGTGTTTGTTAAACATGAAAAGCACTTTTCTGCTGTATTTTGACGGGGAAGAATTCCCCCAGCACCTGGCAGAAGGTTCACTTAGCAGTAGCTGAGAATCTCCCCAGTACAAGCTCTGAGATGTTAGGCAGTACAGCTTGGAAGTTGTTTGATCAGTGCCTGGGGTTATTATTACTGGGGCTGGCATCATCACACTAGTTGCCAATATTATTATTAGGAAAGAGCTCATAAAGCCGGTATTTTTCCTAGAAAAGGTGGCAACCTTTTGTAATACACACTATCTCTCTTACACTTTCATGAAATAAAGGCCTATACATACACACACCTTACAAATCGGTATAAAGCAAAAACATTAAATTATTTAATCTGTAACTATAGGCAAAAAAAATTACATGATACAAGCTGTCACCAGCATTAACCTTCCTAGCGGTAATCCCGAGTGTGACTCTGGGTTAATCTACAGTACCAAAAGCGGTAACCCCAAGCCACACTCGGGATTACACTGTAGTGCTTGTCCTGCGATCCCCTGATCCTTACCTTGTCCTGCGATCCCCCAATGTCCTCTGACTGTGTCCTCCGGCCAATTCCGGCATCTGTCTTCCAGGTTCCCTTCCCTGCGAGCATCGGGATGCAGGGGGGCAGAACCGGTGGGAGATTCAAAAAAGTAAAAATATGACATGAACACAATATATTGTAATCTGTTAGGATTACATTACTGTATCAAACCATTTCACCTAAATTTTGTCCCTACTGCTTTGTCCAGTGCTTTGCCTGCACTTTTACCGTTCTTTCTGCCTGGAAACTTGAGACCGTCCATGGCATCCAAAAAGTGTCCCTTTAGGTCAAAAGCGGTTTTAGACCAGCTAGAGAATAGCGATAGTGAATTAGAATCACTTGCAGAATTGACCGATAATGATTTGTGGGGAAATTCATCATCAGACACTGAAAGTGACAAAAGCGACGATTCTGCAACTGAGCTCAGCGATGTGCGAACTTGGTGCTCTTTCAAATTTCAGTGTTTTTGGTTTGACTACATTGCTGAATTAAATTTATTATGATACTGTTTTTTATAATTATTTATATTATAATTTATGATTTTGTGTTTCAAACTTTTATCATACCCGGGATGTTTACTAGACTCTTTTTTTGGACAGATTTGTGAGATATTCCTAAGAATTACAGGCCTACAATATAAAACAACAAATTTCCATGCAAAACAATGTACTGCTTTGACATTCAAAAATATTGATCTAATTAAACTGCCAGGGAGGTTAAAGATGAACTCCCTTACACAGCAAGGTTCAAATGCTTGTTAAAGTGGTTGTAAGGATTCATTTCTTTTCTAAAGTAATAAACTTGTAATATTTACCTGCTCTGTGCGGAGAATGCATTAAGGCAAAAAATCTCTAGCCTTTACAGCCACTTTAGGGGGAGAGGGATAATCTGTAATAAATACCCTGTTCCTTGCTCTAGCAGGCTTCCGGCTCTCTTTTCCTCTCAGCCGTTCCGAGTTGTGGACAGGCTGCACAGTATACAGCATAGAGGAAGCCTACTGAAGCATGGAATATAGTAAGTATGGTAGCTTATTCCTCTACCCCTAGTCTTGACAAGCAGATAAAAGGTGAGACTGTCTATTCATGAAAGGACACCGATATTGGTCTCAGGAGTAGCAATCCATCTGTTAATAGCCCACATATATGTTTCTTTTACTTACACAGAATATATTTTTTCTTTTATAGGCAAGGCATCTCTATATTTGTGACTTCCACAAGAATTTAATTCAGAGTGTAAGGAACAGACGGAAACGGAAGGGTAGTGATGATGACGAAGGGGACTCCCCAGTCCATGACACGGATACTCCGGAGGTATACTTTTCAGATTCATGTTTTTATCTAAGTGCACCTGAAGGACCTCTCCTGCAGGTGGAGAGCAGAGATGGAGCCATCTTACATTACCTGGTTTAGTTTTGGTTGCAGTGAGTCGGCCTCCTGTGTGTGGCCGGTTGCCATTTTTCTGTAGTGGGCAGCACAGTGGCAAAATGATTAGCACTTCCGCCTGACAGTACTAGGGTTGTTTGTTCGAATCCCAACCACGGCACCACCTGCCTGGAGTTTGCATGTTCTCCCTGTGCCTGCGTGGGTTTCCTCCGGGTACTCTGGTTTCCTCCCACACTCCAAAGACATGCTGGTAGGTGAATTGGCTCCTGTCTAAATTGGCCCTAGTATGTGTATGTATGAATGTGAGTTAGGGACTTAGATTGTACACCCCTTGAGGGTTAGGGACTGATGTGAATGTACAATATATATGTAAAGTGCTGCGTAAATTGACGGCGCTATATACAGTAAGTACCTGAAATAAATAAGTGTACAGTCATTATATTATTGTGATAGAACTAGGGATGCACAGATACCGGTTTGTTATCGGTGAGTATGAGTACCCATACTTTCGGTCAAGTACTCGCCCATACCAAATTGCACCGCAAGGAATAGCATGTGATGCCTGTCCAAATCGCATACGGTATGCCTACTGCTCCTGTGTAAACCCAGGCTTGTCCTAGCCCAAGTTCACACAAGAGTGGTGCAGGAAACCCCTGCAGGCATCCCATGGAGGTTTTCCACACCACTTCTGTGTAAACTCAGGTTATGACAAGCCTGGGTTTACACAGGAGCAGTAGGGAAACCATATGCGATTTGGACAGGAATCACATTCATGTTCAAATCGCATGTTAATCTTTGTGGTGCAATTTGCATCCATTAACGCAAATCGCACCGCAAAGCATCGGTTAATGGGAGTATTTTCATGAGTACTCCTGAAAATACTTGGTATCTGCATCAACGCTGGTGTCAGTGCATCCCTAGATAGGTCTATGCTGCTTACTTTATGGTTTGGTATTTGTAGCAAGTCTTCAAAGGACAGTTTTTATTGAGGCATTTGAAATTGTACTGTTTTGTTGAATAACGGAAGTCATTTTATGTTTTAGATTTAATGGAAAGGGAAAAAGAACACCTATCTCAATTTGTCATGTTTACCTTGATCATTAAAAGTGAAAGTAAAATAAATTTTTAAATTTTCGGTTCTCCCCAGAACAGTAATAGAGGGGAAATCTTCCCATGGGAGCACTAGTTCGGGTGACAATGATGACAACTGGGACTACACCGTGTTGGAGGGATTTCCTCTCACTTCCTGTTTTCTGCTATGGGACAGGCAGTGAAGGAAAATCCCCCAAATGGGAAATGGATGGACAAACAGAACATGACTGGGATATAGCGGTAGATCTCCTTAAGCCAGCCATACATAGTGCTGAACCAGCCAAATTTTGATCTATCGATCAGCTTCTGTACAACCACCCTGTTGTGTTTTTTTCTGAACAATCAGTGCCACTGGCTGTATCGGGAACACTGATCATTGTTTTCTGACACCAGGGAACGCCATTCGCCATGAGAACACATTAGCATAGCATGAGTGATTCCTCCATTCACCTTAGATGTGTGGATGGGGGGATCAGCACTTTTTTTTTTCATTAAGACCTGTCTTACACTATGCAAAATGAAGCCTTTAGTTCAACTTTAAAATAAACCATATTTATCCCATCAAACAGTACTTGTGCGCAAAGTCTGTTGTAAGCTCTTTATTGCTTTCTTTCTGATTTCACAGTGCTATGTCAATAACTAGATATCAGCTGAGAAAGCTCTGGAAATTAGACATTTTTTGGCCTCATTCACATGGGGGGAAGATTACTGTACACCCCAGTCCTTGCCATGTATAGAGCAGAAATCTCAGTCCCTGTACTGTACAATATGGTTTTTATGCAACTGGAAGGCACCCAGGCATTTTGGGTCCAGGCCCACTCATGTTTCCCTGTAGACTTACAAACGCTCTATGTTGTATCCAGGGTGGATTTGATTTAAATCACGATTTAAATCACTAGTCAGTAAGGCTTGATTTAAATCATAGTTTTCTACATAAAGACTAATTCTTGCTGGTATAACTTTAATATGCAAGTAGATGAAGATTTTTAGAATAACTTTTCATATTAGTTTTTTTTTATCCCCAGTTTAATAGGTTAATCATTCATATTTGGACAACTTTTCTGTTGTACTTAGGAAGAAGAAAAATCATTCCCTTAATAATAACAATTTAAACATATTTATTCAACTGAAACAATAACATTTCCATCATATGTTATTTGCTTAAACAAACATCCATGTTTGTTCACTAATTTGGCTAAACAAAATATATATATTTTAAGAAACTTAGACTGTCAGCCCCTTCCTCCTCACACTTCGTTTCACTTTCTTCTTGTGCAGATCTATTCCACTCCAAACAATCAGAAAAATATTGATTCTATTCACTGAACTTCTCAAAACTTAGCACTGAAGGGGTTGATTCTGTATTCATAGGTTTGTAGAAGTTAGGATTAAGGTCTTTTTCTTAACTCTGTTCATGTTATAACATTTATGCTGTGAAGAAGAGGCATGTGATCTCCGCTGAGTCAAATTCAGTTTTGAAAACTGCAAAAGTAAACCAAGCATCTGTGATAATATCTTGTAGGCAGAGAAACTGCCCAATAATCTTACAAAAACCTCTGGAAGAGCATGACATTGTGAATGGATTCATGGAATTTATTTACCAAAAAAATTAAACATATACAGCCTTATTCTACATAATTAAAAAAAACGAATCTTTATTTCATGATGGAATAACCTTTGGATGGTAATATATTTTCCTCAAAAAGCATTTTATTTAAAAAAATCCGATTAAAAAAAAATCCAATTTTTTTATTTTATTTTTTATTTTTTTAAATCATTGATTTTTATCCACCCTGGTTATATCACACATACAGCCGCAGCGTGTCATTGATGTATATGGTTGGCTGTATACAAACGCCTTTCACTTCCAGACTCCTTCTAGTCCCACAAACACATGACCCTCTGCACCCATGTGAATGAGACCTTAAAGCAGGAATATTCTCATCGATTTAACAGTTTAAGAAAACAGTTACATTCTGGCCATGTGCCAGGAATGTAACTGTCACATTGGTATTGTTCTCAACCAAACTATCAAACCAATAAATGGCTGGTGTCATAAATGATCACATGTGAAGATCAAACAGAGACCAAGATGGCAGCTTCCTTGGCTGAAAATAATAGAAGGGTTTAGTTCCACTTGAAGGTAAAGTCATCTTTTACACATTTTTACTGTGTACAATGACATCATCCCTCCTTTCCAGATTGGCTGGAACAATTCTTTTCTTTTCTAATGACTAATAGAAAATATAATTCCAGCTAATGGGTAAAAAAGGAATGTGATGCCGAAAATGGGCAAAGTGGATTTTTACACGTTTTCGCAGCTGTTATCTAGGGATTGCTAAACAGCTGTGACATGCTATAGATAGCAACAAAGAGCTTACATTTAAAGTACTCGCTTTCACTTGCATACAGCATTTACAAGCAAAATTCTTTTTCTGTTTTTTTTTTTTTTTTTTTCAAGAACTAGAATAGATTTATACATAACTACATTTACATGAATGTACACACAAATTCTGAAAATACGCTGAGCTCCATTTGCAGGATACTGACTCTTTTCTTCGTACATTTCTAAGCGCAGATGTAGAATGCTGCCATGTGCATGAACACATTGGCTATAATAGAGTTGCTGTGAGATTTCCCCCCCTCCCAAAAAAGAGTGGGTTTTTTTTTTTTTTTGTTTTGTGGGTTTTTGTTTTTGTTTTTTTCGCATTTGTGAGCATTAACTCTTAGATGGGATATGCTGGTGGGATAGTACTTTGCGTGCCAAATTAGGATGCCTGCATTGTGCATGTTACATATGGTACCATTCATCCATATGGAAGGTGTGCGTGCTGAAAACTGCAATAAAAATACGGAAAGCAGGAATTTTTAAAACAATATCACACCAAAATGCATAGATAAAACTATGCCATTGCAAATAATCGTATATTCTATTACCATGACTGGCCAAATTTGTGCAACAATCATCTAATTTCTGTGGACGCCTTTAGAGCTCATCTATAGACATTTTTTTTTAATTTTTCCATAAAGTCTGTGATCCGCCCCCCCTTCTGGCAGAATTCCTTTTTTCCTTGGTGGTCACTGGGACAGAAAGTGAAAATATATTTCCCCAACTGAAGTATTTTTTTATTTTTTTTTGCTGGAGTTCCGCTTTCATAGAACAGTGGAAGGAAATGGGAACCATTCTGTCATTGCGAAGTCACATGAATGTTGAATTGATCTTGGAGAAGGAACTAAGGAATTGTGCAAAATGATTCTCTTCCTCTTGGCTTGAACAAGAAATACTGTTTGCTTAGTGTTTAAAGGAAACCTGCACTGAGAAAAGTATTTGAGCTGCTATTGGTGGACACTCCTTTTAGAAAATGCTGGTTTCCAGAAGGTTATGTCCATCGAAAGGCTTCATTATTTTGTGTCAAGGGCCAAGTATGCAGATCAGGAGTTCCAAATATTTTGGGGTTTTACTACCTACCGTTGACTGATAAATCATTCAGGTTAAAGGCAACCAGGAAACTGGTATTTTCAGAATAAGGTCTGCAATAGCCACATATTTTTTCTTTTATGTGTTTCCTTTAGTGCCAGTTCACATGCGTATATGCGGATTGAATGTGATTTGAACTGCATCTGATCCACATGACATGTAAAGTAACATTTCTCTCGATGGTGCCTGTTCACATATGTCCGGTGCACTGGCGGTGAGGATTAGGGCCCGTTCACACTGCACGCGTTTCATTGTGCTTTTTTTCTGCTTCCAAAACACACAGAAAATAAGTTATATGGTTGTCAATGTCATAGTTTACATCAGTGCTTGCAGTTCCAGTTGCAGAAGAAAAAGTAGA